TGTCTCTCTCTCTCTGGCAAGAACATGCACTCTCTGAGAAATTTTTAAAAAAAAGAAAAAAAGGAGTTTCAGGGCAGGCCGCCCAAGCACGATCTGTACCATTGTAACATGCCGTGGTCTTACCCTCACCTTTCCCAGGGCCTGAGGAACAAGGGCTAGTGCGTGTCAGAGCAATCTGTCAGCACTCTGTCAGCTGCAAAGTCCTGCATAACATATATTTGATAGAAAGGCCACCAATCATGTGACCACAACTGGACATCTGGAGCCAAGGGACTTGGTTCAAGACAGCGTTCTAGCACCCTTAGCAGCGAAGGACCTTGAGGCAGACATTTCATTTCTCTGAGTCTGTGGTGTGGGGGTAAGAAAGCCGGCCTCAGGGCTTGTTCTGAGGATTAAACAAGGTAAGATCCTCGAGTGCAGGGACAGCATAGAAGGCCCTGTCCGTAGAAGAACTTTGGCCACCATTCTTCCCCGTAGCCACCCCCTTTGCCGACGGGAGCTGGCTGGCAGGAGGCTGATGTCCCCACCTCACCTGGTCCTGTTCCTCTCATGCTGGAGTTCACCTTCTGGGAATGACAGAAGGTCTCCATGGTCCTCAGGGTTCCCCAGGGTCCTTACCAGGCCCCTCCACTCTCCCACCAGGCTCCCCTTGGGCAGAAGCCCCGGGGCACTTGTGCCCTTTGCCCATCTGTGGACACCAGACTCAGCTGCCACGCCTGGGCTAGGGGGTTGGCAAGAGAGGCCACTTGGCTGCAGTCAGAGGATCCGGGTTTCGCGCCCCTTGGGAGAGACTGCCTGCTGCCTGCAGGTGCTGAGGTTTGGCGGGAGCAGCAGACGCCCTGGTGGCGGCAGAAGCTCCTGAGTGTAAGCAGCAGCGTCCACCCACTCTCCGCCTCAGCAATGGCCAGCCCCCAGCACAGGGGCTTTCCTCTCCCAGTCGCCCCAGCGTCCCTCCCTTGTGCCCAGCGTGAGCAGGGTGGGCAGAGAAAGCCAGCAGCAGCAGCCCTCTGGAGAAGGCTCCAGTTGCAGACGGTCTCCCAACCATGGCAGCGAAGTCTGGCTATGTCTAAACAGAACAATTACCCTAATTACTGTTTGTGCTAATTATACCGTCATCCTTGGTCCGACAATAGGATAGCATTACTCAACCCACCTGGCCACAGAACGGCAGCCTGCTACGGGCCAAAGCCCTGGCCATGCAGAGACGGACCCCGACACCTAGCCAAGTCCTTTTGGAACCAAGACCTGCCAGGCACACCATTCCAGGCCCTCGGCGTCTCTGACCATGATTCGGATCCTTTTTGGTTCTTCGGTATGAGCATTCAGGCGTGCAGATGAGAACATTTATGTAATGTACTTAGAACATGCCAAGAAATAGCGAGTTATCTTATTGTCTATACCCAAGTCTTTTTTTACTCATGGGCCCCTTTTCTGACGATGATGGGGAATCAATAGTAGAAAACAAACCAAATTTGCCCCGTTCAGATAACTGGAGGGCTTATTGATAACAATCTCTTTGGGATTCATTCAAAGTCAAGTTCAGAAACAAAGTCAGTTCAACATCAAATCGCTTCTGATGTTGAGGGCTGTTTCCGTCATCTGCATGGGGACTCCCTCTCACGTGGCCCTGCTCTCCTGCCCCAAACACATGCTCAGCTGTTACGAGAGTGGCAGCTGCCCCCTACCCCCTGCCCCGTGTCTCTGGTCAAATTAAAAGTCTATACCCAAGTCTTTTTTTACTCATGGGCCCCTTTTCTGACGATGATGGGGAATCAATAGTAGAAAACAAACCAAATTTGCCCCGTTCAGATAACTGGAGGGCTTATTGATAACAATCTCTTTGGGATTCATTCAAAGTCAAGTTCAGAAACAAAGTCAGTTCAACATCAAATCGCTTCTGATGTTGAGGGCTGTTTCCGTCATCTGCATGGGGACTCCCTCTCACGTGGCCCTGCTCTCCTGCCCCAAACACATGCTCAGCTGTTACGAGAGTGGCAGCTGCCCCCTACCCCCTGCCCCGTGTCAGAGCCTTCGGTTATGTCTGAGGGAAGGCAGTGAGAGGGCTTCTGGAGAGGGTGGCCATCCCGCCACCCACCTCCCCCATCCACCTCAGCGCGTCCTGGCCATGAAGATGCCCTGAGTCCTGGTCATGACAAGAATGCTATCCCAGCCTGGGTGTGCCACCCTGCGGCCTTCTGACTGCTTTGCCCGTCCCAGTGGTGACTACCTGGTGAATCTGCCAGTCAGCACTCTCGGCTCCTTTGCATTTTCTTTGGGGGACGCAGGACCTCCTACATGCCCTGCATGACTCGTACGGCCAGCTTAGATGCATCTCTCGGGACCCCTTTCTTGGTCATCTCTAATCTGCTGTCCTGTCCCTTGTAGGATGTGGCCCCACAGGGGCTTTCCTTTGCTGAGGGGCTTGCAAGTTTTCCAGGTTCACACCCTGAGAGCCAAGCGCAGGATCCTGCATGGGGGTGGGGGAGGCGCCCAAACCGCTCCAAGCACTTCTGCCCCTAAACACACTTGTTCCTCTCGTCTTGGCCCGGCAGCAGGCAGAGAGCTGCAGCAGGACACTCACAGCTGACCCTTTGTCCTCACCTCCCAGCCTCTCCTGCTCCTCTCCCAGAATGCACAGGGTTTTTCCCTTTCTCGTCTATCCAGTGGGAGCTTCTCTAACAACCCTCACTTCTATATCCCTCCTGGCTTAGCCTCATCAGCACTTCGGGGAAAGGAAAAGTTTGGATGACATCAGGGGAGATTTGAAAACCATCCACCGCACTGCACAGAAAACTCAGTCATCTGGAGCAGGGGACGAGCTGGGACCTGGAGCCAAGGAACTGGGTGAGGCCCCGTCACTGCCCCTCCCTGGCTCTGTCGTTTCTGGGCTGAAAGTGCGTGTGCAAAGTCAGCGCTGTGGGAGCAGGTGGGCTAGGCCAGCTTGAGGGCTCTAGTCACTGTCTCCTGTATTCAGGGGCCACAGCAGTGCCGTGGGATCTTCGGGGTCTCAGCTCCCTTGGCTCCTTTTTGAGGAGGTCAAGGACCTGGTCACATGGGCTCCCAGGAGCCCTGTTCCAACAGGAGGCTCCGTCCTGGCTCAGCCTTACATCAAGTGCTGGAACAGAGCAACCCGAACTCAGATCCCGGGCTCCTGAAGAGAGGCCATCCGTCTGCCACACTGACTGGCACACAGAGAACCCCACTGTGGAGAGAGAGGAGAGAGGGATTGAGAAGCAGAGCCACCGAGCGGAGAGGAGAGAGAGAGGAAGACGCCCAGCCTCTGACTCCAGCCCACCTGGTGGCCCAATGGAGTCCCCAAGTTGGGATCCGAGATAATACGCAGTGGAGTGTTCAAAGCAAGGGAGGCACCTGGTCCCTGGGGAGTAAAAACAGTGATGACAGCACCCCCATTTACCAGGCGACTCCACACACCCTGGCTCTCACGAGGGTGACAGCCCTCCTGGCCACCAGCCACTGTGCCCCCTTTCTCAAGCGCCTCCTGTGGGACTCTTCCCTGTGGATGGAACCTCAGCCGATAGCGAATCAAGTTGCCACCCAGGCGCGGCACAGCAGTGCTAGAGCCTGCTGGGCCCTTCCCGCCCATCTAAGACCCTCTCATCCTAGGCCTGCTCCCTGAGGTGCCAGGCACTGAAGGCTCCCCTAGGCAGCTGTGGCAGCGATAGTGTCATTAGGCTTCTTCAGAGACAAGCCTCTCCCAAGGACGCCGGGCTGCCAAAGCCCCGGGGCCAC